GGCGTCATCTAACTTCTAAAATGTGAGTCGTCTCTTTTCCAGAAGAATGTCAAACAGATTTGAAATCGCTGTCAATTTGTAACAAGCTGCTGTCAATTTCTATAAAAGTCCGCCTCAAACGCCTCTTCCTCTTATTTTGTCACCTCCACCCCCACGTCCTCTGCTCCTCTTCCTCCTTCTCGTCCTCTTCTTCCTTCAAACCTTCCCCCCTCTTCTTCTTCCACTTCTTTCACCTCCTTCTCTTCCTCTTCCTCTCCTTCCAATTCCACCTCTACCTCCTCTTCTTCTTCCTCCTCTACCTTCTCCTTCTCCTCCTCCTCTTCTACCAACTTCCCTACCTCCTCCTCTTCTTCCAACTCCTCCTCGTTCTCCTCTTCTTGCCGGTTGTGAGCGAGGGCCCGACTTTCTTTGTACCTAATAATCTAAGATCAGAGACTTATATATAATTATATAATATACTCCCTGATCGTACACTGTCATGAACGCCACTGTGGGCGCTCTATAAAAACCTCATTGTACTACATTCGATCATTCGTATTGCAACTTCGAAAAACAAACACGTTGGATTTTTTTTTAAGGTCACGATTGAATTCCATCAAATTGTGCCATGATGGTTACTTGTGCCCTTTCATGGAGGAAATCCTGGCTGGCTCTGACTCAGTTCGACTGAATTTGGTTGACATGACAGTGTGCACTGGGTATAAGACCCAATCTGAAGCCATATCTGGGCGTAAGTGGTTAGAGGACACCACTTGACGTGATGAGTCCTACTTCTTTATTGCTGTTGTTTCTGTCTTTCCACGCACTAACCGACCGTCATTGTGTGGATGTGCTTCTCCAAGCTCAAAACTCACTGCAGTTTAAAAGCAGTGAAAAGAATAATGACTAAATTGTCCCCGACAACAAAAGTAAATAGAAAAAGACAGAGGAGACTACACAACATGAGCACCCTCCAAGTTTCAGTTAGCAAACAACACGAAACAAAACAGAAATATATCACAAAATCAAGAACGTTTTTGTAAATTTGCATGATTTTTTATTGCTTTACAACGACATAATTTATTATCAATAATAATAATAATAATAATAATAATAATAATAATAATAATAATAATT